TTTCTGAATGTGTCATAGGTCATTATTTTCCAAAGAAGTTTGTTGTCGTTATTATAACAAAAAAGGGCATAAAAAGGGCTTAAGAGAATTTGTTTTCGGTCATAGTTCTAGGGAGTCTCAATTTTTGTTTTTCCAAGTCTTATGATTAGGGATAATTTTGCTTCTATTTCTTAGGTTGTGTCTAGGGTGTTGTTTATATTTCTCTGCCTAGATCACTTTTTCATAAAGTCTTGTTCATATACGAATATTTTCATGAATAAACGAAAAAAAATAAAAAAAGACTAGAAACATGTCATGGGTGACTTTGTCTCGATTATGTGCCTACACCTCATTTGTTTCCGAATTAGGTAATTACGGACCAATCACGATCGCCTATTCGTATGCAGTAGAGAGCTAGAATGGCCAATCAAACTGACTTACGAGATCGTGTCGCTAGTATTGAGGATCAGATGAAGCAATTCCTCGTCGCAATGCAACATATGTCATTCGAGATCAAAGCCCTTCGACTGACTCCCATTCTTGTATCCCCTGAGGTATCAACTCTAAAGCAGAAAGGTGGAAAGAATGTTGATAGTGAGAAAGACGATGATTTCTCCGATTTAGTAGATGACCTTGTCCAGATGGTCGTTAACAAAAATAAACCTGATGCCGCACAAAGTCCAGAGCACGACAAATGGGTCAATAAGCTTGAAGAAAGAGTGAAAGAGCTAGAAAGCTCACATGATTCGTCCTCAATCGACTTGTCTCTTTACACAAAGATCAAAATTCTGAAAAAGTTCAAAATGCCGGATTTTGACAAGTACAATGGCACCTCTTGCCCAAAAGCCCACCTGCAGCTGTACCACGTACGAATTACTCCGTATGTTGATAATGAACTCTTGATGATCCATACATTTCAAGCAAGTTTAACAGGTCCTGCCTTGAACTGGTATCTCATGAAAAAGATAAATAGCCTCAAGACGTGGAAAGAAGTTAGTGAAGTATTCCTAAAGCAGTATATGTTCAAAACAGACATCATTCCCACCCGCGATGACCTCAAATGCACTTAGAAGAAAAAGACCAAGTCGTTCAAAGACTATGTCATTAGATGGAGGAATATAACCGTTCAGGTTGTCCCTGAACCTATAGACAGTGAGTTGAAGAGGATGTTCGTTAAGACTCTCTCGTATGAGTACCGTACTCGAATGGTGGCCATCCCAGTTGAAAACTTCAATCAACTCATCCCCATAGGCGAGCAGATCGAGATAGGGTTGAGAGATGCGTGGTTCATCGAGCCATCCTCTTCAACCAAAAGATTTAGTGCAAAGAAAGATAATGGGCTTGAAGCTGAAGTTAACGTGACCTATTCACAACCGGCTAGGATGCAACAAAGTGGAAGTTGCCAATTCTCTGGTCGACAACAAAGTGCTAGAAGATAGTTCACACCTCTCCCTGGACCCTTATCTAAAGTCTTTACCAGTTCTCCAAAAAAATGGATTACTTTCTAATGAGCCAAAGTGACCAAATCCTGAGCGCTATTCTATTTACGATTCCTAAAAAAAATGAGGCTATCACATGGGAGAAGTCGGTCACTCAACTGATGATTGCTATATTCTAAAGCACAAGGTCCAGGACCTCTTGGACACAAGGGCATGTTCTTTACACGGTAGTCAGCCAAATGTCTAGAAGCAGCCTCTACCCAATCATGACGGAGGCATATATGCTATCACCAACTGAAGAGGTTCTTGTTTTCACACTCCTCTATGAAGGAGTCTTTCATACTTTTCCAGTATTTCAAGTGTTTTCTGGGATTTCCTGCTTTATGAATTTTCAATGGTTGCTTTCATTTTTAGGGTTTGATTGTTGGCATTTCCATTCCATTAAATGTAATTCATTTGACTCTATTCAATGAAATTACAAGTTCAGTTGCATTTTGAGGGCATGTTGAAGTTTACCAAACTAGCCCGGTGATAATATCCAACCATGAAAAAAAAAATATCGTCCACGGAGAAATTCTGAGGGTTGGGCTTCCTCATGTTTTTTCCCAAAAATCATTTCATTGCTTAAAAAAAATAAAAAGAAAACCTATTTTCAAAGCATGTGTCTGATAAACCTTGTTCGTCTAGTCTGACTCATTTACTTCATGTCTCTGAACATAATTCTCAAGTCATTGCAATGAGAAGATGACACATCGAGTTCCAATGACAGTGGACTCGCTGGTTCAATTGAGAGCTAAGATAGCCAAGAAAACACCTTTGAAAAAAAATTTGCAAATATCAATTTGGGGACAATGAGTCATACCTTGATTTGGTGTGGTGCCATATCTAAAAAGCCAGAAAGGGAGGTCAATATTTTTCAATTCAATGCTTGATGTAACCTGTGACATTCCGAATTTCGACCCACTTGGGATTTATGAAATGCATAATTTCAATAACGCACTTGTAGTAAATCTCGCCCAGACTTGATTACTCTTGGGACACAAACTATCAGGGAAAGGCTGATTAGGGATTTAGATTCGCGCGACCATAGAACTTGACCATGGACTGACTTTCGACCATAAGGATTGTCGAGGTGATATTTTGGGCTAACATAGACCGATCTAAGGATGGTCATGGATCGATTTGCGAATGTCGTATAATTGGATCGCGGGTGATTCCGCCTCGCCAGAATACGAAATTAGCGAACGATCTCAAACCTATTCCAAACGATCGCGTTCTTTAGAACTAGTGATTGATCCTCGCAATTACATGACAATCGAGGTCGCCATGGCTCAAGTGAACTTAAACATGGCTCGATTTAGTATCGACCACGGGTCGAATGTACGAATTGTCTCGAAAGCCGCCCGTTAGTTTGAGATAAGCTCAAGTTGCGTTTATTTGAGTTTGGCCATTAAATAGAGACTGAGTTTGGGTGTTGAAAATTTTGAAAGTCATGATAGAGTAATTGGGCAACGTCGTTATTATCGTGGTCAGCCTCGGAATTGTCCGGATTCATTAGAAAACTGACATTTTGACAGGTAGTGGAAAATGACCGTTTTGCCCCTAGGACTTTGTTAAGGCTAAGTATAAAAGTGGAAGGGCATTTTGGATATTTCACTCCCACTTTAGAGATATAAATTTTTGGACGATTTTGCCCCTGCACTTTTTGTGAAATTCCAATTTTACCCTTGGATATTTTTGGTGAGAGTTGATCTTGGTTGTCGATTTTTGGATAAGATTGAATCTTGGCCGTTGGATGGAAATTTGAGAGGGGGGTAGGATGGTAATTGTGGCTTGGGGTAGGACACCAATTATTGGTGTCACTTATATAATTCTTTTCCTCTCTCTCTCTCTCTCCCTCTCATTCTCACGCCTACACCCTCTCCCTCTCCCCTTGGCCGAATCACTCTCCTCCCCCTCCGCCAGTGACCGTGGCCAGCCGGCCACGCCCTTGGCCGCTGCTGCACGTCCGTCACCGCCGCCGTCCGTCCGTGGTCGCCGGGAGGCCGTCGGCGCCCCTCGCCGCTTGTTGACGCCGCCGTTGCTGTTTTCCCTTGTTTCGCCACCCTTGGTTGCTAAATCTAGCTTAGGACTCCGAGTACGTGATATCCTAAATCTCGCCTAGGATAACGGGTAATTTCGGGTTAGTTCGGGACCGTTTTAGCGAGTTTTAGAGGTTATTCGTGGAGAAATTAGTGGACTGAGTTGGCTGAGTTGTTTGGATGGATTTGTGATAATTTTAGAGGTGGAATTGAGGTTAGAATGGATTAAGTTGGTGATCGGGATGATTACGAGTTATTATCGGGAATTATTGCATAAAAAAAGGGGCCTAAATGTGATGTTTAGTGATTTTTCTGTGGTGGCTGAGTTGACGTGCTTATTGTGGCTGAATTTCGGCGTGCTTATGTTTAAATTACTATATGTGGTGAATCGGGATTTGTGGCATGAGTGCGATGCCCTTGATTGGTGAAAATTTGCCTAGAATATGAAAGTTGTGTTAAATTGAGCTTGTGCAAGTGGAATTGATGAATTTGTGGATTGATGTGGCTTGTTGGTGATTTGAATACTTTGGGTGTCGTGTGCGAGTTGGTCGTATGAAATTGGCATGTGATGTGGCGTGCGCGTGATCACTAAAAACCATGACGCGTGTACTATAATGCGGGGTCCAGATAAAATGTGGTTTGTTGACGTGCTCACTTGATCACATAATCTCTGAGGCATGTACTGTAACGCGGGAAAATTGAGCCCGTCCTGAGGCGTGTACTGTAAAGCGGGACGATGCCCGATATTACTGGAAGACCGCCAACCTGATGCGTTTACGCTGGTTGTGCCATAGGTGGAGGATGTTGAGCCTGAGGCGTGTACTGTAACGCGGGCAAGAGACATAGCCTGAGGCGTGTATTGTAATGCGGGTTAAGGAGTATTGTGAAAATGAGACAGTTGTACGTGGACCGTGGATCGAAAGTGGACCTAAGGCGTATTTACGGGGGTTAGAAATGAATTGGGTGCATGTACTCGAGTGAAATGTGAATCGTATGATGTTGTGTTTGTTAGGCGAACGTGAGAATGGAAAGTGTTCGGTCTATCGATGATACATGTGCATACATTGGCCATGTTATGAGGATGAGTTTCTTTTGTGGTGACTGTTTTGTTATAATGATTGGACTAACGTGCAGGGTGGTGCATGTGCCGAGGTAAGGCCAGTGTGCTTGTGAATGTTATAGCATGTCAATTGCTGATTGATTGTGTGCTTGAACATGCCTAGAGATACGTGTTAGCCTAGGTGGGGTTTAGGGTTTCGCTTCTTGAGACTTGTCTCATAGTTGTATAATAAACATTTTCAGAACCCCGGCCTGGACCATGAATCCTTCATCGCCACCACCTCAGTGTTTTGGCATACCTATGCACACCGATCATGCAATAGTAGAGTACCCTATAGATGATAATATGGTTTGGATTAAGCACACCACAGTAGTCTGGATAGATATAGGACAACCCCTTTGGCAAGCCCATACTTATACAGCCTGGTGTTTCCGGGAGGGTATGGACGAGTTCGGTCCAGTTCGTGGTTTCAATGCCCCTTTCGATGGAGTGGGAGATTGGGATCCATTAGCTATATCTCCTCTTGATAGTGAGATGACCAACCTCGATACTAGCCTCGCACAGTCAGGTCATCAGCCTATACCTGCAGAACTCGATCCCACAGTGGCTGAGCCTAAACCGGAGCCGGAAGAATCACAAGCAGGGTTCGATCCGATGGACATGGATTTAGAAGAAGAGAAGCCCGAAGAAGAACCTAAGGGAGAACCCGAGGAGGAACCGGAAGAAGAGCCAGAGGAAGAATCCGAGGAACAACCGGAGGAGGAGCAAGAAGAAGAGGAGCTGATTGAGGTACCATTAGAGTCGGGAGATGAAGATAATCCGATTGAGATTGAGGCGGATTCTGAGTCTTCAAAGGAGTAGGTGGATCAGGGAGAGTTAGATTCAGCTTCTGGGGAGACCGACTTAGAGTGGACCCCGTCTAGAGGTCGTAGTGGTTAGTTAGGGGTAGGGTAACCCTTTTTGAAGTGCCCCTTTTTGAAATTAGTATATACCCAGACTACCGGTCCTTTATAATGTTGGTGGTGCGAATTGTAGAAGCCAGTTTGCATGTATAATATGTATATTGCGAATATAGTGGGTGTAATGAAGTGGTTGGTTGCTAGTTGTGATGGATTGTAATAGATATTGTATATATCGTGGTGCAATATAGTGCTTGGTGGTTTGGTGATTTGTCTCTCCCTATTACCCCATGATTATATTGTCAGGGTTGATGTTCTCGTTTCCGCCATGTTCAAACTCTGATGTGTTGGTTTGGGTTGGCGACGTTTCCTGGGACGTCGCACTAATTCGACCGAGCTTGAGGTGTCGCGCGCTCGTCGGGGTTCGGGCTTCCTCATGTTTTTTCCCAAAAATCATTTCATTGCTTAAAAAAAATAAAAAGAAAACCTATTTTCAAAGCATGTGTCTGATAAACCTTGTTCGTCTAGTCTGACTCATTTACTTCATGTCTCAGAACATAATTCTCAAGTCATTGCAATGAGAAGATGACACATCAAGTTTCAATGACAGTGGACTCGCTGGTTCAATTGAGAGCTGAGAAAGCCAAGAAAGCACCTTTGAAAAAAAATTTGCAAATATCAATCTAGGGACAATGAGTCATACCTTGAGTTGGTGTGGTGCCATATCTAAAAAGCCAGAAAGGGAGGTCAATATTTTTCAATTCAATGCTTGATGTAACCTATGACATTTCGAATTTCGACTCACTTGGGATTTATGAAATGCATAATTTCAATAACGCACTTGTAGTTAATCTCGCCCAGACTTGATCACTCTTGGGATACTAACCATCAGGGAAAGGCTGATTAGAGATTTAGATTCGCGCGACCATAGAACTTGACCATGGACTGACTTTCGACCATAAGGATTGTCGAGGTGATATTTTGGGCTAACATAGACCGATCTAAGGATGGTCATGGATCGATTTGCGAATGTCGTATAATTGGATCGCGGGTGATTCCGCCTCGCCAGAATACGAAATTAGCGAACGATCTCAAACCTATTCCAAACAATCGTGTTCTTTAGAACTAGTGATTGATCCTCGCAATTACATGACAATCGAGGTTGCCATGGCTCAAGTGAACTTAAACATGGCTCGATTTAGTATCGACCACTTGTCGAATGTACGAATTTTCCCGAAAGCCGCCCGTTAGTTTGAGATAAGCTCAAGTCGCGTTTATTTGAGTTTGGCCATTAAATAGAGACTGAGTTTGGGTGTTGAAAATTTGAAAGTCATGATAGAGTAATTGGACGATGTCGTTATTATCGTGGTCAGTCTCGGAATTGTCCGAATTCGTTAGAAAATTGAAATTTTGACAGGAAGTGGAAAATGACCGTTTTGCCCCTAGGACTTTGTTAAGGCTAAGTATAAAAGTGGAATGGCATTTTGGACATTTCACCCCTACATTAGAGATATAAATTTTTGGACGATTTTGCCCCTGCACTTTTTGGGAAATTCCAATTTTGCCCTTGGATATTTTTTGTGAGAGTTGATCTTGGCCGTCGATTTTTGGATAAGATTGAATCTTGGCCGTTGGATGGAAAGTTGAGAAGGGGGTAGGATGATAATTTTGGCTTGGGGTAGGACACCAATTATTGGTGTCACTTATATAATTCTTTTCCTCTCTCTTTCTCTCTCTCCCTCTCATTCTCACGCCTACACCCTCTCCCTCTCCCCTTGGCCGAATCACTCTCCTCCCCCTCCACCCATGACCGTGGCCAACCGGCCATGCCCTTGGCCGCCGCCGCACGTCCGTCACCGCCGCCGTCCGTCCGTGGTCGCCGTGAGGCCGTCGGCGCCCCTCGCCGCTTGTTGACGCCGCCGTTGCTGTTTTCCCTTGTTCCACCACCCTTGGTTGCTAAATCTAGCTTAGGACTCCGGGTAAGTGATACCCTAAATCTCGCCTAGGATAATGGGTAATTTCGGGTTAGTTCGGGGCCGTTTTAGCGAGTTTTAGGGGTTATTCGTGGAGAAATTAGTGGACTGAGTTGGCTGAGTTGTTTGGATGGATTTGTGATAATTTTAGAGGTGGAATTGAGGTTAGAATGGATTAAGTTGGTAATCGGGATGATTACGAGTTATTATCGGGAATTATTGCATAAAAAAGGGGCCTAAATGTGATGTTTAGTGATTTTTCTGTGGTGGCTGAGTTGATGTGCTTATTGTGGCTGAATTGTGGCGTGCTTATGTTTAAATTACTATATGTGGTGAATCGGGATTTGTGGCACGAGTGCGATGCCCTTGATTGGTGAAAATTGGCCTAGAATATGAAAGTTGTGTTAAATTGAGCTTGTGCAAGTGGAATTGATGAATTTGTGGGTTGATGTGGCTTGTTGGTGATTCGAATACTTTGGGTGTCATGTGCGAGTTGGTCGTATGAAATTGGCATGTGATGTGGCGTGCACGTGATCACTAAAAACCCTAAGGCGTGTACTTTAACGCGGGGTCCAGATAAAATGTGGTTTGTTGACGTGCTCGCTTGATCACATAATCCCTGAGGCGTGTACTGTAACGCGGGGAAATTGAGCCCGTCCTGAGGCGTGTACTGTAACGCGAGACGATGCCCAATATTACCGGAAGACCGCCAACTTTATGCGTTTACGCGGGTTGTGCAGTAGGTGGAGGATGTTGAGCCTGAGGCGTGTACTATAACGCGAGCAAGAGACATAGCCTGAGGCGTGTACTCTAACGTGGGCTAAGGAGTGTTGTGAAAATGAAACAGTTGTACGTGGACCGTAGATCGAAAGTGGACCTGAGGCGTATTTACGGGGGTCAGAAATGAATTGGATGCGTGTACTCGAGTGAAATGGGAATCGTATGATGTTGTGTTTGTTAGGCGAACATGAGAATGGAAAGTGTTCGGTCTATCGATGATGCATGTGCATACATTGGCCATGTTATGAGGATGAGTGTGTTTTGTGGTGACTGTTTTGTTATAATGATTGGACTAACGTGCAGGGTGGTGCATGTGCCGAGGTAAGGCCAGTGTGCTTGTGAATGTTATAGCATGTCAATTGCTAATTGATTGTGTGCTTGAACATGCCTAGAGATACCTGTTAGTCTAGGTGGGGTTTAGGGTTTCGCTTATTGAGACTTGTCTCATAGTTGTATAATAAACATTTTCAGAAACCCGGCCTGGACCATGAATCCTTCACCGCCACTGCCTCACCATTTTGGCATACCTATGCACACCAATCATGCAGTAGTAGAGTACCCTATAGATGACAATGTGGCTTGGATTAAGCACACCACAGTAGTCTGGGTAGATATAGGACAACCCCTTTGGCAAGCCTATACTTATACAGCCTGGTGTTTCCAAGAGGGTATGGACGAGCTCGGTTCGGTTCGTGGTTTCGATGCCCCTTTCGATGGAGTGGGAGATTAGGATCCATCGGCTATACCTCCTCCTGATGGTGAGATGACCAGCCTCGATACTAGCCTCGCACAGTTAGGTCATCAGCCTATACCTGCAGAACCCGAACCCACGGTAGCTGAGCCTGAACCGGAGCTGGAAGTATCACAAGCAGGGTTCGATCCGATGGACGTGGATTTAAAAGAAGAGGAGCCCGAAGAAGAACCTGAGGGAGAACCCGAGGAGGTACCGGAAGAAGAGCAAGAGGAAGAACCCGAGGAACAACCAGAGGAGGAGCAAGAAGAAGAGGAGCTGATTGAGGTTCCATTGGAGTCGGGAAATGAAGATAATCCGATTGAGATTGAGACGGATTTTGAGTCTTCAGAGGAGCAGGTGGATCAGGGAGAGTCAGATTCAGGTTCTAGGGAGACCGACTCAGAGTGGACCCTGTCTAGAGGTCGTAGGGGTTAGTTAGGGGTAGGGTAATCCTTTTTGAAGTGCCCCTTTTTGGAATTAGTATATACCCATACTACTGGTCTTTTTTTATGTTGGTGGTGCGAACTGTAGAAGCCAGTTTGCGTGTATAATATGTTTATTGTGAATATAGTGGGTGTAATGAAGTGGTTGGTTGCTAGTTGTGATGGATTGTAATGGATATTGTATATATCGTGGTGTGATATAGTGCTTGGTGGTTTGGTGATTTGTCTCTCCCTATTACCCCATGATTATATTGTCAGGGTTTATGTTCTCGTTTTCACCATGTTCGAACTCTGATGTGTTGGTTTGGGTTGGGGACGTTTCGTGGGACGTCGCACTAATTCGACAGAGCTTGAGGTGTCGCGCACTCATCGGGGTTCGGGCTTCATGTTTTTTCCCAAAAATCATTTCATTGCTTAATAAAAATAAAAAGAAAACCTATTTTCAAAGCATGTGTCTGATAAACCTTGTTCGTCTAGTCTGACTAATTTACTTCATGTCTCAGACCATAATTCTCAAGTCATTGCAATGAGAAGATGACACATCGAGTTCCAATGACAGTGCACTCGCTGGTTCAATTGAGAGCTAAGAAAGCCAAGAAAACACCTTTGAAAAAAAATTTGCAAAGATCAATCTAGGGACAATGAGTCATACCTTGATTTGGTGTGGTGCCATATCTAAAAAGCCAGAAAGGGAGGTCAATATTTTTCAATTCAATGCTTGATGTAACCTCCTTGCCCACGCATCAGAAAGAGTGGGGCATGTCAAAGAAGATCACCCAATTTTGGAGAAAAAGGTGAGAAAAAGGTGTATCTCATTCCTGAACTTAGTTGATTTTGAAAATGACACTCCGTCCTCTCTCTTGTAGATGACAAATTGGAGGCATAACAGACTCCTGTAGCGGCCATTGAGATAATTCCTTGGATAATCAAAATTTACCAAGTCTATTTTGCATTACATAGAATCCTATTCATGCATGTTCTCCTGTGCAGGGAGGACAAGAGCAAAAATGCGGCGTTTATCAAACCGAAGATT